TGGTTTAAAAGCTTTTGAGGACGATGGTTTTAAGCTTTTGAGGACGATGGTTTTTAAGCTTTTGAGGACGATGATTTTAAGCTTTTGAGGACGATGGTTTAAAAGCTTTTGAGGACGATGGTTTTAAGCTTTTGAGGACGATGGTTTTTAAGCTTTTGAGGACGATGGTTTTTAAGCTTTTGAGGACGATGGTTTTAAGTGTCACACCTGTCACACACCTGTCACACACCTGCTAAATATTTACATTGACAGACAATAACATATTAGCAGTAGGTTAGGTTAGGTTAGATGTTCAAACCTCAATTATGAACACTAGAGAGTTACTAAATACTGTTATAGACAGACAGACAGACAGACAGACAGACAGACAGACAGACAGGCAGACAGACAGGCAGACAGATAGATAGACAGACAGACAGACAGACAGACAGACAGACAATATGACGCAGCAGGAAAAATATAATATGTACTCACTGACTCTCTGTCTGTCTGTCTGTCTGTCTGTCTCTCACTGTCTCTTTATCTCTCTTTCTGTCTGTCTCTGTTTTTGTCTCTCCTGTCTCATTATCTCTCTGCCTCTCTGTCTTTCTATCTCTGTCTATTTCTCTATCTGTCTATCTAGTGCCAATGTATACTGTACATAGCAGAGAGAGAGAGAGAGAGAGAGAGAGAGAGAGAGAGAGAGAGAGAGCGACGGTGGGCGGATGAACCATAAACGCCCCCGCACTACCTCCTCCTCTTCCTCCCCCTCTTCTCTCCTCCTCTCCCTCCCACCCTCTTCTCCTCCTCGCTGTCTCTTATATGGTGTTTGGACATTCTCTCACTCTGTATTCCCACTGTATGTTTATAACGCACACACACACACACACACACACACACACACACACTAACGAGACGAAGGGGCCAACACTTAGGTGACATGTGACGTCAACTCTGTCGCCACCTGGACTGTGAAGACCCTCCCACACCTGTCAGCCTCCCACATCTGTCAGCCTCCCACACCTGTCAACCTCCCACACCTGTCAGCCTCCCACACCTGTCAACCTCCTACACCTGTCAGCCTCCCACAGCTGTCAGCCTCCCACAGCTATCAGCCTCCCTCACCCCTGTCAGCCTCCCACCTGTCAACTCCCTACACCTGTCAGCCTCCCACACCTGTCAGCCTCCCTCACCTGTCAGCCTCCCACACCTGTCATCCCCCAGTGTCAGCCTCCCACACCTGTCAATCTCCCACACCTGTAGCCTCCCACACCTGTCAATCTCCCACACAATCTCCCCACACATGTCAGCCTCCCACACTGTTAGCCTCCCACACCTGTCAACCTCCTACACCTGTCAGCCTCCCACCTGTCAGCCTCCCACAATTGTCAGCCTCCTGTCCCAGCCTCCCACCCTGTCAACCTCCTACACCTGTCCCAGCCTCCGTCCACCCCTCCCACAGTGTCAGCCTCCCACACCTGTCAAACAACACCTTTATGTCCTCAGCCTCTCTCCTGTTCATAAACTAAACTTCCCTCCCCTCTCCCCCTCCTCTTTCTCCCCCTGCATCCTCCCTCCCTGCCTCCTCCCTCCAGGTCTTTTCTCTCCCTGAGGTAGAAATTTTGCTTCCCCTAATAACGCAGTCAGACACACTATCACCCCCATCACTAACGCGGCTTAAACAACATTAGGTTAGGTTAGTTTAGATTAGGTCAGGTTAGGTTAGGTTAGGTTAGGTTAGGTTAGGTTAGGTTAGGTTATCATTGTCCACTTCTTAGTTTTACAGTAATAGTACATTAATTAGTCTCCATTGGTCTGTATAATAAAAATAATAATAATAATAATAATAATAATAATAATAATAATAATAATAATAATAATAAATAATAACTAGATGGTGTAATAACTAAGTGGTGTAATAACTAAGTGGTGTAATAACTAAGACGGTTTACCCAACAGAATGCCCGCCAGCACCCGACGGAAGAGAGAAGATGTTTTGTCCAACGCCCAACACTAATGGCGAGTGGACGTGTGTTGAAGACGAGGACCTGTGTGACGGTGAAGCCCAGTGTCCTGCTGGCGAAGACGAGGCGCCCACACATTGCCTCTTTCACACCGCGGTAAGTCTCTCCCTCTCTCTCACACCCCCACACACACACCCACACCATAAATGACACACCCACACACCATAAATGACAATGTTAAGTGGAGTGACACAAATGGTTGATTATAAAGGACTGACTCGCCCCTCCATGACACCAACTAACACACTTACTGTTGTTACAGATGAGAGCTCACCTAGACGAGCTTACCAAGTTCGTCATGCTCACCAAGTTAACCTGAGGCACTACTATACAACCTGAGGCACTGCTATACAACCTGAGGCACTGCTATACAACCTGAGGCACTGCTATATAACCTGAGGCACTACTATACAACCTGAGGCACTGCTATACAACCTGAGGCACTGCTATACAACCTGAGGCACTGCTATACAACCTGAGGCACTGCTATACAGCCTGAGGCCTGGGGGCACTGCTACACAACCTGAGGCACAACCTGAGGCATTGCTATACAGCCTGAGGCACTGCCATACAACCTGAGGCACTGCTATACAACCTGGGGCACTACTATACAACCTGAGGCACTGCTATACAACCTGGGGCACTGCTATACAACTTGAGGCCCTTCTATAGAACCTGAGGCACTGCTACTTGAGCCTCAGCCCAAGCGAATCTAAACCTCCTGCCTGCTGGGGGTCGCTATCACATCGCCTTCTGCCGGAAATATAAAACTGCTCGGCCTCTTCCAAGATATACGACGATACTCACCTCCTGACCCTGATCTCTCACCTCCTGACCCTGACCTCTCACCTGAACCTGACCTCTCACCTGACCCTGACCTCTCACCTCCTGACCCTGATCTCTCACCTCCTGACCCTAACCTCTCACCTCCTGAACCTGACCTCTCACCTGAGTCATATAATCTCTCATCAATCAGTGATAATTCCTACCAGTCACTCTCTCCCCCCCCCACCTCATGTACTGTCCCTGGGCACTGTCCGTGGTCAGTGTCACAGCCAAGGAGACGTCATCATATCGGGACAAAGCATAGTTCCTCCCGTGTGTGTGTGTGCGTGTATGTATGTATGTATGTGTGTTCATGTACGTATGAATGTATATCTAGATGTACATGTAAGTAAGTAAATATCAGTGAGTGTATGAGTGTCAATAATGAGGAGGTCACAGTTGATGTCAAAGGCCTTCCCACCCCCCAAAAGATTGTTGTTATAAGCCAGCAAGATCTTATATAGTTAGTAAGTTTACAGGTGTAGTGCTCGTTAATCTACTTACCTGACGCAGCAACACACCAAAGTAATGTTATTTTTGTACATAAGAACATGACTCACAGCTTTATGTGTATATATTGTTTCTCTATTAATAGCTCACTGTGTTAATAGCTCACTGTGTTAATAGCTCACTGTGTTAATAGCTCAGTGTGTTAATAGCTCAGTGTGTTAATAGCTCACTGTATACATGTATCAATAGCTCACTGTGTTAATAGCTCACTGTATACATGTATTTATAGCTCACTGTATACATGTATTCATAGCTCGCTATATACATGTTTTATATACATTTATGTTAATTTATTTATTGTGTTTTTATTTATACTAATTTAAGCCTTTTTTTACGGATTCTTTCTACGTTTATCATATGTGTGTGTGTGATGACCGCGGGTGCAGTCTTCTGTATGTATGTATGTATGTATGTATGTATGTATGTATGTATGTATGTCTCTACAACTGAAATAAAATACATACATCATAATCTTGCGCGTTTGTCTCTTGATCCAGTAACCCCCCCCCCAGCACCAGAGAGTACTTCCTAGCACCACTTAGCACCACTTCACACGTCCTAGCACCACTTAGCACCACTTCACACGTCCTAGCACCACTTAGCACCACTTCACACGTCCTAGCACCATCATGTACAGTACCTCTCAGAAAGATCTAGCATTTTAGAGAACCACCCAACACCTCCCAGCCCTACCTAGCATTCACCAACACCTCCCAGCCCTACCTAGCATTCACCAACACCTCCCAGCCCTACCTAGCATTCACCAACACCTCCCAGCCCTACCTAGCATTCACCAACACCTCCCAGCCCTACCTAGCATTCACCAACACCTCCCAGCACCACTCTGAAGCTATATCAGTTCCCATATATAGAACGTAATACACAATGTGCTTGAAGACTATAGTGTACGGCCAGACATAATTGCCTCACACTGCTGTACTCACGTAAACTCAACTCAAAGGGTTAAGTCGATGCAGTACTCAAGGATAAAGATATCTTACTCAATGGACGAATTCATATAGTACTCAAGAAAAAAGACATCGTAACTAGGGGTTAATTCTACGTACTCAGTAATAAAGAACCCCTTACTCAATGGACGAATTCATATAGTACTCAAGAAAAAAGACATCGTACTCAAGGGGGTTACTCTACTTCCTATACATTATATTGAGTTGATAATGAGAGAAGGAACTCGAACCAATTCTTCTTTCTAATTGAGTACATTATCAGCCAGGCTTTTAGAGTACAGCTGATGACAATGGTATTTAAAGAAAGTTGTTTTATTAAGTGGCTAATAAATGAGAGTTACTAATATTGATTACGTTAATAAGTTTGTAAGTGTGTGTGCGTGGATGTGAGGGTATGCGTGGGTGGGGGTGTGTGGGTGTGAGGGTGTGGGTGTGGGTGTCTGGGATGGAGGTGTGGGGTAGGGGTGTCAGTGTGTGTGTCTTTCTGTCGGCTGAGAATCTGATAGAGAGAGAGAGAAAGGCAGACAGACAGACATAGACAAACAGACAAACAAAGACAAACACGACTACCATACACGAAATAAACAACCTAACGATAAAACAAAAACAAAAACATTCTAATCTCAATACCACACAACGCTGTTACTATCCATCACGGTAAAACACAACGTTAACACTAATACCTTCGACCCTATGATAAGAATCCTTAACGGTTAAAGTGACAGGTAATATGAGTTCTACCTGGACAGTAGTAGTAATAGTAGTAGTAGTAGTAGTAGTAGTAGTAGTAGACACGGAGTTACATCCTATAGGTGAGGTTAGGTTAGGTAAAATTAGTCCTCCTAAATATTCCAATAAAACATCAGACACTTATATCTAGCTGGAATGCATACGAGAAAAACATAATTATTAGAAGCAAAAAATAAAAATTAATTAAAATAAATAAAAAACCCAGGTGAGCACAAAAGACATCAGGTAAACGTCTTAATTGAATCGTCTCAAACCGTTCCTTAATATTTGCAACTTGCCCAGGAATGAACATCAATCATTTAATCGCCAATTAGGAATATTCGCCCTCCTTCGCCTTCCTTCGCCCTCCTTCACCTTCCTTCACCTTCCTTCTGTTGTTGGAGAGAAGCGAAACAAACAATTCTTTATAGATATTTCATTCCATGTTTGTAGTTATTAAAAAGAGTTATGGTGTGTGTGTGTGGGTGTGGGGGGTATGTGGGTGTGGGTGTGTGTGGGTGTGGGGGTGTTTTAGATGAGGTTCTGTTGTGTTTTTGTGTATGTATGTATGTATGTATGTATGTATGTAATGATTTAACCCCTTGAGTACGATGATTTAACCCCTTGAGTACGATGACTTAATCCTCTGAATGCGATGACTTAACCCCTTGATTATGATGACTTAATCCTCTGAATGCGATGACTTAACCCATTGAGTACGATGACTTAACCCCTTGAGTACGATGACTAAACCCCTTGAGTACGATGACTTGACCCATTGAGTACGATGACTTAACCCTTGAGCATGATGATTAAACCCCTTGAGTACGATGACTTAACCGTACTCAAGGGGTTAAAACGGCATTTCACTCTGATAAATACAACTGTACTTAATTAACGAAGGAATAATGTACTCTAGAACTGTGGTGTCTAGGGCCGCCTGGTGGTCACTGAATGAACTAGAGGAAGAAGGTATAACGTTTACCTGTTCACGATCCACAACAGGTTATATATCTTGGACCTAGAGCATCCATGTTTTATTAACCTCTACCTGTACCGTATGTTTGTCCGTACCTTGTGTTCTCTGTTGGTTTGTGTATGTGTAAACAAAAAATAAAACTTACACTTACCAAAACTTGTGTGTGTGTGTGTGTGTGTGTGTGTGTGTGTGTGTGTGTTACCATACAACAGTACTAACCATGAATGCTATTTATTTTGATTCTGTGTAAGAACTTAGCTAACGATGAAGATTACACAAGACTACACACACATACACACACACACACACACACACACACACACACACACACACAGACAGACAGACAGACAGACAGACAGACAGACAGACACACACACACACACACACACACACACACACACACACACACACACACACGCACACAGACAGACACACACACACACACACACACACACACAACATGACCCCCTCCCCTGCCCTCTACGACCATACCTGACACATTATATCAGGTATTGGTAATAGTGAGCGTTGACACCTTATTTCTGGTCTAGTTGTTATGTAGCCTCACTGGCTTCCTGGGTGGGAGGAGGGAGGGAGGAAGGAGGGGTGGGAGGGGGGGGGAGGGGAGGAGGGAGAGGGAGGAAGGAGGTGGAGGAGGGGAGGAGGATAGGAGAAGGAGGTTGTAGGAGGTGGGGAGGAGGATAGGAGGAAGGAGGGTGAGGAGGGTGGGGAGGAGGGATAGAGGAAGGAGGGTTGTAGGAGGGTGGGGAGGAGGGAGGGTGGGAGGGGATAGGAGGAGGGTGGGAGGAAGGAGGTTGTGAGGGGTGGGAGGAGGGATAGGGAGGAAGGGGGTTGTAGGAGGGGTGGGGAGGAGGATAGGAGGAAGGAGGGGTTGTAGGAGGGGTGGGGAGGAGGATAGGAGAAGGAGGGTTTAGGAGGGTGGGGAGGTAGGGAGAAGGAGGTGTGGAGGGTGGGGAGGAAGGATAGGAGGAAGGAGGGTTGTAGGAGGGGTTGTAGGGGTGGGAGGAAGGATAGGAGAAGGAGGGGTTGTGGAGGGGTGGAGGAGGGAGGAGGGGTTGTGAGGGGGGGGAGGTAGGAGGAGGAGGGGGTGGAGGGGTGGGAGGAGGGATAGGGAGGAAGGAGGGGTTGTAGGAGGTGGGGAGGAAGGATAGGGAGGAGGGGTTGTAGGAGGGTGGAGGAGGATAGGGAGAAGGAGGGGTTGTAGGAGGTGGGAGGGGGATCATTCGTTGGCAATACTGTCGATATACAATTTATTTTTCAGTCTATATTCGCTTTATTTTTTTTTTTATAAATTTCCAGCCAAGGGTTAGGTTAGGTTAGGATGGGTTATGTTCAGATCATTAGAACATAAGAATGGAGGAAACTGCAGCTGGACTATTGGCCCGTACTAGTCAGTCCCATTTACACCCAACCCCTATCGCTCATATATCCACCCAACCTGTGTTTGAAGCTACCCAGCGTGTTA